GGTGGTCTGACGGGCGCTATGAGACAGTAAAACCCAGAGGTGTATGAGTGTGGGTTTTGAGGAGGAGGGATAGTTGAATTTATAGAAAGATAGGGGGTTTGTGGCGAGTATAGACGAGCACTACCTTGCTAATTGTAGCACAAGGTAGGTTTGAGAACAACGAGGATGACGAGGTGACGAGGTTCCCAGTGATAGCAGGCTCCTGACGCACAAACTGTAGTGCTCAGAAGGACTCTAATCGAAGGGGATGACAATCTCTTTCAAAAGTGACGAGTGACGATGACAGCAGTTAACAGTGGTAGAAGTGGGAAGTGTTGTGACCACACTGGATCACAAGTAGCAGTAAGAAGTGGACTTAAGATTAGAGAAGAAGTCTGGAATCGAGTTCTTGTTGTTTTTTACAAGGTAAAATACAGGGGTTTATATAGTAAAAGAGAAGTAGGCTATGCACAGTATAGCTGTGCAAAAAGAATGAGAAAGAATATGAAGGAAGGAATGTACGCTGACGAATCCTGCGTAGGTAGTACAGGATAAGATTGTCAAAAAAAGAAAAGAAAGGGATAGAACAATAAATGCTGTGAGTAATATCACAGGTTTGTACAGCCATAAAGTAAAGTCCAATAGCAAAAAGAGAGCAGGAAAATCATGATGTCATGGGAAGATGCAGTAAAAAAAGAGCAAGGCAAAACACTATCAGTATCAACACAGTTCCTTTATTGTCAGTCAGGCATTCTAAAAAAAATATGTGTCCATAAAAATGATTCAAAAATCAAAAATAATCGCACTGTAAATGAATGTTCTGCTGAAAAAAAAGAAACTGGAGCCACCAGTCCACCACCTAGTCCAAATCTGACAGTTCCATGGCCTTACCAATGGACTGGTTGTGTTGGACCACCTGATCAAACGAGGGAGGGAGAGGAGTAGTTCCAATTTGGAACAAGTGAGTCCCAGGCAGCGTGTGGTAGGTGTAGCTGTAGCGAAGACGATGGACAAATGATAAGTGTACCCAAGTGAATGGGACAGCGATGAACATGGGCGACGCAAGGGGATGAACCTTCTCCAGCTCAAAAATTACCCACCCACGCTCCAACCAGGCAAGACGAGCGACCGATGTTTTGATAGTATATGATGGCAGATCGACGTCATGAAGATGGACCTGTTGCCCTATTTGGACCGGCCGCCGGGGCTTTGCTGATATCAGCAGTGGCACGTGGTAGTCAACGGATCGGCGACGGAAGCGGATAGGAAGTGGTGACATCAGAAATGGTGGGGGTGCAAAGAAGATGAGGAGGAGGAGGGTGGAGGTGACGAGGAGGTGAACTAAAATGGGGACCCAGAAACGACCGTCGGGTGAGAATAAAAAGGAGAGGAAGGGGCCCATGGTGGGGCTAGGCAAAGGAAGGGGAGTAAGGGAAACGACAAAAGTGAGGGCGCAATGCAATGTGTAGCCAGTGGCGACGCGAAAATTTGCCGAAATGCCGAAATGCGGAAAGTACCGGATGGAAAAGCAAAGGTGAGCGTGACTGGATTGCCTAATAGAGGTGGTGCTGATCAGCCACAAGTTCAAAAAGGGCAATATTAATTACTGTTCCACGTGGCACTGTGCCTGTGTGGCGCAAAGGCGAGTCTTTTTGAATATTCGCTTCGTTATTGACACCTGTCCATGCTACCAATCAACTTTGGTGCATGACATCCACGGACAACTTGAAATTGCAACTGTCCCCAGTTGCTTCCATAAAGGTAGGGTCATAGGGAATGAAACATGGCAACACATTGAAGGGTCATGTCAGCATAAAATTCATTCAGGTAAGTCATTAATCGTTATCTTCATCATCTGAGTCGTTATGCTCATAGTCAGGTTCATCTTCTGGTTCATCTAGGTCGTTATCATGGTCATCCAGTTCGTCCAAGAGTGGCATAGAGTGGCGGTTGAAATAGGGAAGTAGGCGGAATGCTGCAATTCCTCTTCGTGATACTGATCCATCCATTTCTTTTAGAACATACGATCCTCCTTTAGTACGTCGCACAACTTCATAAGGGCCATTGTAACGAGGCTTTGCTTTACGATCCAGCTCTTTCTCAACCTGAGTATTCCGCACTAGAACAAGCTCTCCAGGCTGGTATTCGTTCTTGAACATCCTTCGTGCATAGAGTTTCTCAAACTGCGCTTTAGATCTGAGACGAGTTTTGCGTATAGTGAGTGCAGCTTGTTGCAAATCATCCTGTCTCTTTTCTAGTTGACGAATGCGCAGAGCAATGAGGTCTTCTGTTGACATTGCAGTATGGAATCCATGAACAAGGAAAGTCGCTTCTGTCAGATCAAATGGTAGTGTGAGTCAACTCCGTGCAACAGATAAAAAGGGCTGAATCCAGTAGAACGACGAGTAGTGACCTTGTCTGCAAAGAAGGCATGATGGACCTTGGTTGGCCATAAATCGACATTCCCTTCACAGGACTTGACAAGTGCTTCTCTTATGATGAAGTGTCCACGCTCAACAACACCATTTGCCTTGGAATTGTAGGGAGAAATGCGAATATGAGGGATCTGGTAACGTTCCACAAGCTCTTCAAATGCTCCTTTGACTTCGCTTCCATTATCTGTAACAACTTCTCCTATAGCTCCATAGCGACAGATAATTTCTTCCCAGAAAAAGCGAGCAAGATTATGTGCAGATGCTTTCTTCAATGCTCTTCCTTCTGCAGCAAGTGACAGATCATCTCTTGCAGCAACAAGATATCGATATCCTCTGGCCTTGGGCATGAGCATAATGTCGACATAGACTTTGGTGAAGATTGTAGGAGGTGATGAGATGGTAAGTGGGACTTCACTTTTGCGTACACTTCGAATCTGGCATTCATGGCAGGTGCGAATATGATGCTTGACATCCTGTAACATATGGGGCCAGTAAAAGCGCTCTCTGACTGTAGAGAATACACCATTGACTCCTCTGTGACCAAGCCTTTCATGTGCTTCAGTAAGGATGTGAAGTCGAAGGTCAGGATTGAAGATAACTTTGAGAGGAGGAGCAGAGTGACGACGCTTGAACATGCTGTCTCCTTTCAAGAAGAATTGAAGTGATCGCTTGACAAAACGCTTTTGAGCTTGAAGAGAGGAAAATATAGGCAGCTCCATAGTTTGAAGAAAGTGGAAGATTCGACGAAGGGTATCATACTGAGAAGAATCATTGGTAAGGAACGAAGGGAGTGACATAGGGTGATATGGGAGAGGTCTGGCAAGATCAACAAGAAGAGCGATATCATCAAGCCATTCATCTGATTCTTGAGCATCTTCAAAGTCTTCCTCTGTTGGTTGACGACGAGATAATGCATCAGGACCACGATGACGATCAGCAGGTATGTGAATGAGCTTGAAATCAAAGAGAAGGATGCCCTGAATCCAACGATTGATAGTGGCATTAGGCTGAAGATCTGGATCGTTGAGCATGCCTTTGATATACTTGGCATCCACCTCCACATGCAAGTGTTTTACTCCTGCAATGTAAAGGCGAAAATGACGAAGTGCTCTGAACAGACCATATAATTCTAGCTTGGGTTGACTGTAATTTGCCTCTCTATCATTCATGGGAATAGAGCCATAGCGAGCTGGACGCTTCCTTCCATTTTCATCAAGCTGGGAGAGGATAAAACCAACAGCAATCTTGCTGGTATCAACTGAAAGAACGACTGGGTTGTGTGACGAATAATTTATAGGGTGAAGTGCTGGTGCAGAAGATACTGCATGCTTCAGAGCATCAAATGCTTCTTGTCTGCGTTCATCCCATTGAAATTCAGCTCCTTTGCGATACAATTCTGTCAAGGGGCGTGCAAGAGCAGAGTAATTGCGGATCCAAATGCGAACTGTGCCACATAGACCAAGAAAACTGCGAACGTCTTTGGGAGTCTGGAGAATTGGCCATTTAAGAATCTTGTCCACCTTGGTACTGTCAGGGAGACGACCTTCTGGGCAGCATACTTGTCCGACAATCACAACTTGAGGACGACATAACTGAGTCTTCTTTCCAGAGAAAGTTCCGCCAGCATGACCAACTCTATGCATAATGCGATGAACGTCAATGGCATGTTCCCATATAAATCTACGAATGCCAGGGTTGCCAGGAATGGTCTCTGGGTTGCCATCTGCATCTTCATAACGAGAAGTAGGTCCTTTGATTGGGAGGTCATCAACAAAGATATTGGCAATATGCGGAATTTCGTCTTGCAAGATGAAAGTCATGCAATTCTGGAATTCTGGAACGGAATTGGTGAATCCCATAGGCATAGAAGTAATCCTCAGAAGTCCTAGTGGCGATAGAAAAGAGGTAAGGTCACGACTGTCAGGGTGCACTTTCCGAGCATCAAATCCCCAAAAAAGATCAAACACAGTATAACATTGAGAACCAGCAAATGGCTCCACAAAGTCGTCAAGGATAGGTGGTACTCCTGAGTCTTTGATAGTGACTGCATTTAGTGGCTGAAGATCATGGACGATGCGAATCTTGCCATTCTTCTTTTGAACGCAAAACCACTTAGAGCGATAAGACGACTGGCTAGGCTCATAGACTCCAGCTTTGATTTTGTCTCTGAGCAATTCTATGACTTCATTCTTGATTCCAGGAGGAATAGGAATGTTCTTGTATTCCCAAGGGACATGTGGGAGAACAGGTATGACGTAGGGAGAGAAGTAGTCTTCTCTGAACGTTCCTCTGTCAGTTTCCTCGAAGGCAAGACTGCGCTGATTGAGTATCATGATGTGAGCGAAAAGCTTTTCCTCTTCTGGCCATAAGAATCCATCAGAGTTTAGCTTCATTTCGTCATAAAGGCGCTCCTTGGTGAGCTTCGGCGTGGGAATGAATTCTGGGGGAAGGACAGGAAGGGGTGGGAGCGAAAGGAGTGGGTCTTCTGGAAATGACCGAGTGACACGTGCGTCTTCTGGGAATACTCCAGGAACAGGTTTGACTTTGCGATCAACACGTTTGTAAGCTCCAAAACTCGACCAATCGGGTGCTGGTACAGGTATAGGGTCCACAATGTCTATCATGTAACTAGGGTTAAAACAAAAAGTGTTCAAAGAAGGAAAGTGCCGTGGTAGTTTTGCGTCATCTCGGACCGAATAGGATAGGGATGAGGTTGGAAGTTTTACAAGGGGGGAAGGAAAAAGATCAGATAAGAACGAAAGGGGAACATAGACAATAGAAAAAGAAGTTGGTACAAGAGTAAAGGAAGGAAAAACCGGATAACATAGAAATCCAAGAGGCCATTTTGTACAAGTAATAGATATATAACAAGAAAGAAGAAAAAGGGAAAAAGTGGCATATGGTTTAAGAGCGCTGAATGGAGTGTTAAGTAAGAAAGGAATATAGAAATGTATCACCAGCATCTACCTCAAACTTCAACTGTGGCACTAGCAAGTACCTCAGTGCTGGTGGTGAATGTGGATGCACTGGATGGATGAGTTGTCCTGTTGTGGAGGTGAATAACCTCAACACGTTCTCGTCGACAATAAGCGCGAATACGAGGGAAGACAAAACCGTAGAAAAGGGCGAGGACAAGTAACACTCCCACCATAATCTCGATGATGAGAGCTTCTTTAGTAATATGAAACCCTTTCAGCCAGGACATGTTAGGTGCTTGTAATGCTCGATGTAAGCGTTTAGGATGGAGTGAAGATGTGTTAGATCGGGGTAGAATTTCTGGCACTGGTGTGAATAATCGATAATGGCTGAGCTGATGGTGACGTGGGAAAATGATGATAGTGATGCATGGAAGTTCGAAGATAAGGAGTAATATCGGATGATATATTGATGGAAGGTTGATGCTCCACTCCTATTGTTGTGGAGAAGGATAAGTGAAGGGGCGGTGAGGATTCAATCTCCCTTTCATCCTCTTGACTATCATTGCAAATAGTATGCATGAGTGTGCGATTATGGTGCATGAGTGTGCGATTATCAGGAGAAAGTGACGAAGCAATAGTAGCATTGGTAGAGGATGGTGATGGGGGTGAGTCACTGATGTTTGATGGTAACTGTTGACGCGAATATGGGGGTGGTGATTCAGAATCAGTGGATGAGTCATCATTAATTAATCCATTTATATGATTGTGTATCGGCTCCGAATCGGATTCTTGTATTACCTCCACCGTCACATTGACTTGACCATTCATATCACGTGATGGAGGTCCATTTATATCATCATCAGTGGGAATTGAAAATGACTCTGTTTGAGGAAAGAAGCGAATATGTGCAGTTCCTGAGTGACTGATAATAGATTGTGCTCTTCCAGGTCCATGATTCTGGTCAAATCGCAAATGAGCATGGAGTAGGACATAATCCGCATAAAGGTTGTGGTTTTCATCGAAGCCATGGTGTCCTCTCATGACATAGTCTGAAGTTATTGAGAGTGAGCTCATGTTGTGACGATATTGAAGGTTGTTCAGTAGACCAAAAATAGCAGACCTTTCATCTTCCCTGATTGAGCGAATATGGTCGAAGAATGTTTCGAAGGTACTGGCATTGGGGATAGGGATGGAGGCTTCAATAGTTTCTTCTAGACGAGTCTCCAGGTCTTCCAGTGCTCTGAGAGTACTAGAATTTTCGATTGAACCAATTGGGGAATGATCTGGAACAGGCACAGTTTCTTCTTCTGGGGTGACACTTTCAGCAGCAGTTTCCGATTCACCGGTATTTCCATCTAGATCTTCTCCATTGAAGTCATAGTCCGTGACTAAGAAGCTGGATACTGTATCGGATACTCCAGATACTGGTTTGACATAGTGAATAGGACGATGATCTGATGATACCTTGACTTCCAGAGCAGGGTTTTCGATTTTGCCATCCTTCCTGAAGACGAGATAAGTGCCATTAAGTCTCTCTTCAATGCTGACATAGTTCCCATGCGTCCATGGTCGTCCAAGAAGTAGATCATATCCAGTGTCTTTCCCAACAAAGATATTGGCATAAGTTTTGACTTCTCCGCAGTATAAAGCCACATTGTTGACTAGACCATCAAGTCTACCAAATCCTCCATTGGCATCTTTGACTACAGGTCGAATACTAGTATCCATGGGAAGGCGAATGAGATTTTCCCAAATAGTGCGACTGACTATATTGAGAGCAGACCCTGAATCAACAATTGCTGAAATAGTTTCGCCATTAGAGGTAACAGGGACACGAATGAGGTCGGCATGAGTGATGGCAAGAAGTGATTCAGCTGTCAAGCTTTGGGGCTTGTTGTCTAGTCCAAAATTAACGCGCTTGGGTTTCATCATTTCTTGGAGATTCTGGGAAACTTCTTTTGATAGACCAATGACATTACCAATAGATAGTGGGATAGGGGTGCTGAGAATTTGATCAATGATGGCTTTGGAGTCAAGATTCTGTGAAAGAGTAGATGAAGTCTTGAGCTGTTTCTTCTGTTTATCGGCAGGGGAATTCTTCTTGGTGTTCTGGGAAGCATCTTCCATGATTACATCGTCATTAGTGGGATCAAAGATAGGCTGTGCAATATCAAA